GGATGATTACGAAGTGTCCCCCGCCCCGAGGCTATTGAACCCCGGTTACGCGAGTCAGAAACTCACTCGCGGATAGTGCGTGCACGTGTACGCACTCGAAAGCCGACGTCTCTCTATCTATCTGCCTCTGCCACACTGCCCGTAGCCCCCTCATGCCCTCATGCTCGCACACTGCCGCCTGCCTACGCATTCAAAGCGCTGCTGTCTCTCTGCTTGCTTTTTGACAATAATATGTAGCCTCGAGAAGAAATAAAATTTGTAACCCCCACCCCCGTCGGTCCATGTCACCGCGAACACTGCTCCTTTTCCCCGCTAGCGCCACAACTTACGACGTTCCGTAGTTTGTGTAAATTTTTTTATTTCTTTCTTTCTTTCTTTCTTTCTTTCTTTCTTTCTTTCTTTCTTTCTTTCTTTCTTTCTTTCTTTCTTTCTTTCTTTCTTTCTTTCTTTCTTTCTTTCTTTCTTTCTTTCTTTCTTTCTTTCTTTCTTTCTTTCTTTCTTTCTTTCTTTCTTTCTTTCTTTCTTTCTTTCTTTCTTTCTGCCATCCTCATCCTTTCTTCCCGACTTCCTTTCTTTCTTTCTTCCTTCCTTCCTTCCTTCCTTCCCGACATCCTTTCTTCCCGACTTCCTTTCTTTCTTTCTTCCTTCCTTCCTTCCTTCCTTCCCGACATCCTTTCTTCCCGACTTCCTTTCTTTCTTTCTTCCTTCCTTCCTTCCTTCCTTCCCGACATCCTTTCTTCCCGACTTCCTTTCTTTCTTTCTTCCTTCCTTCCTTCAATTTTGTCCTTGATGCAGTCGGTCGGCTCGTTCTAGTCAGTAGACGATAATTTACCGCTTTCTACACCGACACATGCAAATCCGACGAACCATACCCGTTGCTCCTGGTAATTAATATAGATTATTTATCTAAGACGGGCCCGGGCAATTAAAGAAAAATATTTACCGTACGTGCGCTGCTGTAGGCGCTTTTTATTTCGGACAACTTCTTTTATGTTTCACCGACTATTGATGAATATCGATGCCCGACCCAAACAAGATTTATATACCTTATATTACCTTATATTCGCTATCATTATTAATATGACATTTATTTTCATAAAAGTAAATTATTGACCCGGACTTTTGTGTAGACGGCTTTTTAAAACAAATTTCAATGTTCGTCATTCCCGGTACTCTAAATGCTCCTTCCTGCATTATATTCGGTCTGAACTATAAAAGCCAAGCATTCTCGGTCCGTCATTTTCACGGTAAAGGAATATACAGCGAAGCTTAAGTATTCTCAAATGTAAATTCACGTTTTCGTCGTGAATTCCGCATACCGAATAATCCAGTTACCACTTTCTTTTTACCATGAAAAATTCCCCTACCGAAAATACAAATAGAAATCTTCATTTAGCTATTTTATTGCGAATTATTTATTAGTAGAATATGTAGAATAAGTAGAATATGTACGTACGTAGCGTAAGTAGAATTAATTCGACTGAGACTCGTCGTTCAGTTCGTAAAATTTAAATCAATTCGAGTGAGCCAGCGAGCGAGTAAGTGAGTGAGTAAGTGATTGAATGAGAACGACAGAGAGCAAGACAAAGACTTTATAGTACACATGCAATGGCATACTTACACAGCTTAAACTGGATGCGTCTCGTGGAAATTACATATGTTGCCGGTCTGTCTACGTCCTCTTTCTTCCTCTTTTCTCTTTTCGTTCTCAGTGTTTCTATCTTTTTTTTTTATTGCCTTAAAAACCTTTCGCATTCTATCTCTACTTGTACGTCTTTCTCTCTAGCACATTTATTTCTTCTCCTATCTCACTCGCTCTCGCTCTCCTCTATCGAGCGCTCGATATTTTTTCGTCCTGCACTGCGAAACACTCTTATACGTTTAGTAAAAGTTGTCCGATTGTTAATTGCAATTCTTTAATGCAAGTTTGCTCTAATGTTTCGCATGTTTCGAGTAACATTCAATGCGAATGCATATTTGTAAATCGTAAGATTATGATAAATCCAACTACTCGTCATCGATTATTAATAAAATATTAGCCTTTACCGTTAAATGTTAACAGCCATTTAAAGATTGTATAAGACATGACAAAATCAATTAGTGTAACAATTATTTTGTTTTGATAAAAGCGAGGACATTAGTATTGGGAATTGTAGAATGAAAAATAAATCGTCCAACAAGTTTTGCAAACCACATCATCAAAAAAAATTATCCCCGATCGATCGGCATATTAGTTGCAACATTATAATAAAAGCTGTGACCGCACCGCATAAATTATTCTCGAAAACCAGTCTTCGAAATTCCCGAAAAAGAAGATGAGGCATAAAAAAATAATCGCATTTTTTAATGCCAAAGACCGAAATTAATTTCTGGAACAGAATCTACTCCCCGATTTCTGCTCTTCTTTATTTTTTATGCTTTCCTCTTTCTCCTTTCGCGAACGCACACGCGCGCACAGACAGACCATAAACGCGCACGCACACACTCATCCGCCGAAATTCACAGCGTTTACGCAACACTCTACTACATTGAAAGAGCAAACGCGAGGAAGAAAGAGAGAGGCAGCGAGTGAGTGAGATAGATAGATAGATAGATAGATAGATAGATAGATAGATGGATAGATAGATAGATAGATAGATAGATAGATAGAGAGAGAGAGAGAGAGAGAGTGAGTGAGTGAGTGAGTGAGTGAGTGAGTGAGTGAGTAATTACAGTGCCGGCACAGGGCGTTTGTAAGAGTGACCTTGACGTGCCGCGCGAGACAGACAGATACGTGGTTCTCTGGAATAGAGAGAAGCGTAAAGAAGGATGCGGGAGAGTGAGCGAGTGAGAGAAAATGGGAGGAAGATAGCGCGTCTGGTGTACACACATACGCATGCGCTACACATAAGCGCAAAACCCGATTGCCGCAGTGGCCTCCCGTTTCGAATGCCTTATCTCGGGCGAATCGGGATTTGGATTGTCCGACAAAAATGTCGGGCATTACGCGTATTAGCTAATGCCCGTGCATTAGCCATTGCAGCTTTCGAAAAATTCGTAGCGACCAACATCCTAATCGTCCCGACACCGTTTATTCGTCATTCCTGGCTTTATCAAAACTGCCGGTTGCCAGACACCATCCTCTCCATCTGAGAGGATATCACGGCTCTATAGAATATTTTTCGGTGCTCGATTAGCGAATATTCAAGGTATTACGGGTGCGCGTGTCATTTCCCCGTCGGCATTGCAAGCAGAAAAGTTACGCGAGAGTACGGCCCCCCGACCCACGGTTCGGGCCCGAGCAGAGCGGTATTTGTAAGCGCACACCTGGCGATATCTAGTGCAAAATTGCCGTCGGGTATAATCGAGTCTAGGTGAACAGGGGCAGGCAAGAATTGCTGTGATACTCGAGAAAGCAAAGAGAGCGAGACAATAGCGGAAAAGAGCAGGAGAGGTAGGCTACATTGATCGAGAGGAAACGCATTCGCCCGTTCTTTGCTTCTTTCCTTCCTTCCTTCCTTCCTGCTTGCCTAACTGCCTGCCTGGCCTACTTGCTGCCTGACCTCCTGTCTGCCGTCTTCCTTCCTCCAGCGTTTGAACGCACATTGCGGCTGGATTTTTCTCGCACGACGATGGCAACGCGCTCACTTCCTGCCCTGTGCGTCGCCCATATGTCGTCCGAGGTCCCCGCCTCCCTCTCTCTCCCTCTCCCCCCTCCCCTTCCCAGTTCATCTGTGAAATATACACATACGCACGCGTGGGTGGACCCGCGCCCTTACGGTTTTTTTACTCGATCCCCCTCCCCCCGTCCAACGAAACATTCGAAGCCTTTTTTCACGTTAGGCCTTTTCTTTTATGTGTCGTCATCGACCAGGTATGCGAGGAGAAAAAGTGCCAGGAGGAGGTGTTTCCGCTGTCGATGAACTACGTGGACAGGTTCCTCAGCATCTGCCCCATCAGGAAGTCGCAGCTACAGCTACTCGGGACCGCCTGCCTCTTGCTCGCCTCGAAGCTCAGGGAGCCAAGGCCCCTCTCAGCCAACGTTCTCGTCTTCTACACCGACAACTCCATCACGCTCGATGACCTCTGGGTGAGTAGTCAAGACCACCCGATCTTACCTTACCTGCCCGACTTACTACTATGTTACCTGGGCCCGACCCATTAGCCGAGAGTTTACGCGCAAAGAAGCCCAAGAGAGAAAGAGAGCGAGAGAGAGAGAGAGAGAGAGAAAGAGAGAAAGAGAGCCTATTTTGCATTTTGTTCTGGGGCCCGAGTCGCCAGCCTTCGCAAATTAACGTCGTCGCCCCCTTAGATAGTAAGAGGCTGTCTATTAAAATAATGTCCGATGTTCCAATTGATCCGGGAAATTTTACTCTCCGGCGGTATCCACTTACATTTTTGTCCCCTCATTTAAATATAATTCCAATCGTCGTTGGCCAAACCCTTGTTATTAAGAACACGATGATATTCCCTTTGATATAGAAATTTGAAAAATGCCATTACCGTGTGCAATATAACAAACGCAGATGTAACGAGCAGCTTTTAATTAATTTTACTCCATCCTTCTCGCTCAAAATTCACTCGCAAATACGCAGTCTGGTTAATAAAATATCCTAATTGTTATAAATAGGTAAAATAAGAGGGAACGGGAGCGAGAGCGAGCTATGGGGATAGAGGAGTTAATTTAATGTAAATCTTGAAATTCAATCGATGGATTAAAAATAGAATGCCTTTATTCGTTTCGCTTGGGCATTAATAATTTTGGTAAACATCAATATCGCTAATATAATTATTGATAATTATATGATAATGTAAATATCTCATATAATTATTATTTCCAAATACAAGATTTAAATATTAAGCTTTAAACGACAAGCGAGAGATTTTTAAGAATTTTTTCATTATCCGGGAGCTGAGAGTATCGGAAACAATTTGATCTTTGGTAATGTTGAATACATTCACCGCATCTCTCCCAAATCGAATGCATACGGCATGCGCATATGCGCATCCTTTTTGTATAAATGACAATGTTAGAAAAGTTGGAGTAACAAAATGCACCCAATACGAATCCATTCATCATACACATTTCAGAAGGCATACAATTCCCTAAGCATCTCATTGACGGCGAAAAATATTCCAAGTCGATAACAATAGCTTTCGACGTTTCATTGTATTGTGCTGTGATTATTTTTGAGGCCGAATGAATTTACTTATACCTTTAAAAGCAGATCATCCCAATGTAAGTCCGGTAAGTTTTATCGGATTCTAGGGAAAATAATGTACTATTACAATTCGTACCGCGTTCACGGCTTCTTCTGTCCTATTCTATGTCAGAAAATAGAAACTTGATTTTGTGAATAGAGATATTTGTGGATTTATATTGAACGTGGATACTCTGATTTTCTAGAATTACAAATTGATTCATATCCGTAGTCATCGCTTTACTTGTTTTCTAATTTTGTATCCCCTCCCCCTCTCCCTTTCATTATTTCCCACCACACTCCCCTCCCCTGTCCTCGCCACCTCTCATTTACGTATTATCATAGTTGGATATTCAGTAATTAACCGATGCACCGTAATTTTTAATTCTAACGATACGATTGCGAGCTCACTAGGAACTTATAGCTGTAAAATGTATAGTAATTCATTGTAAGGTTGCGATGTAAAACTGCGATCAACCACCACCACCACGTGCTACGGGAATTGATCAAAATAGAAGGTTATAATTTGCAAGTCCGTTAGGAAAGGCGATCCATCCGTTTTGACTAGAACAATGGAATTGGATTTGGGTAAAGCGAGAAATTTGGCGAAACTCGTTAGCATTTTTCGGCGGTTGCCCTATTGAATTTACAAGAGTAATTTCAATCGCCGTAAGTCGGTCACCCGTACACAATCATCGGATCTTCATTTCTCCCCTCTAATCGCGCATATTCAATGTAACTGCTAATTCATGAGAGCCACGGGACTCGCGCATTCACGAGACTTGTTACGGGACTTTACCGAGATAATGGGGACAATACTTCCCTCTTTTCTGTCTTATTCTGCCTAGCTGTAATCGACGGAACACGAGGGTCGGTCGGCGGTCAAGACTTTGTACGCAGCCCGATAAGCTTGAATTTCGAACGATACGACGCAGGGGCTTTTTCAGGATAAAATAAAGACATTTCGGCGCGAGCGTGGCAGGGGAGATTAGAGTGACTTGGCAGATACCAGCAAAAATACGTCTGCTGTGCACAAACGCGCAATCGCTGATATTAACTAACTAAATGTAGTACTGTTAGCTACGGGCTTGTGCAATGCCGATAATAAGTTCGTTAAATTCCGGTGCCCATAACGGCTGAAACAACTGTGTAAAGTGGCGCATGTCTACGGTGGATTGTAGCGTTCTATTAAAATTCTAATCCACGACCGAGCTAGAGGAAGAAGGAACGCCAAGTTCGAGAAAATCCACGTGCGCAACACGAGTTCCTTGTCTGCAGTTGCTCGACATGTCCGGGAACGCACGCGTGCGTACACACAGACAGAACCCGTACCCTCGTATTCGGCGAGGACGCGCGCATAAGTGGCGCGGGATCGTAACGAACCGTGATGACGTAGCTGTTAGCGCGCGTGGAACTATTTCAAGAGGCTCCGCGTCCCGTCGTCATCTTCTTCGTAATCGCCGTACTTGCCGTCAATATCGTCTTCGTTGTCGTTGTCGTCGTCGTCTACGTCTTCGTCTTCGTCTTCGTTGTCGTTGTCGTTGTCGTTGTCGTTGTCGTCGTCGTCGTCGTCGTCGTCGTCGTCGTCGTCGTCGTCGTCGTCGTCGTCGTCGTCGTCGTCGTCGTCGTCGTCGTCGTCGTCGTCGTCGTCGTCGTCGTCGTCGTCGTCGTCGTCGTCGTCATCGTTGGCGGTGGTGGCGGCGGTGGCAACGGCAGCGGCGACGGCAGCTACGGCTGAGAGCGACACAAACGAGAGGAGAAATCAAGTGGCAGATAAATGGCTTTGTAGCCGTAACCCCGCGAGGTCGCCGACGCGCGTGTCGTGGCGATTTTTGTTTTTTCCTTCTTCTTCTTCTTTCCTTCGCTTCGTCGAATCGCTGCGTCTAGCTAATTCGCTGGATAAGTGGCATTTCTCGTACTCACGAGTCGCGCTAACGCTTTAGCTGTCTTTTACAGCGTAATTCAACCCGCTGATTTACACGATGCCAAGATAAACGAATGTCGGCACTACGCCGGAAACGGAAAGCGAGGCGCGAATTCATCGTGAATAAGCGCCTCCAATACAAATATGGAGTAAGGGTGGGATGAGGTGGGCCAAAAAATGGCCTGTAGTCGGCGAGAAATGTCTGAAAAGTTTTAGAACGCATTGCTACAGCTTTTGTTTTACTTTTATTACTACTCTACTTCAATTATAACTACTACTGCTACTATTATTACTACTACTACTTCGGTTACTACCACTACCACTACCACTACCACTACCACTACCACTACTACTACTACTACTACTACTACTACTACTACTACTACTACTACTATCACCACTACTGCCGCTACTACCATCGCTGTTACTACTACGACTGCTGCTGCTACTACTATTACTATTACTGTGGCTACATTGGAATTCGATTGGCGAATGATTTATCGCTGCGACGCGAAGGCACGAATTGTTTAGACGTGTTAGCCGAGTTCGCGGAGCAGGTCAGAAGGCGGCGATAACCCTCCGGGAGTCGCAAGCCCTCGTCGCGTGACAAAGGTACGATTGTCTTGGGCGACTTTTCGGGGACCGCCGAGAATTTGGTGGTCTTTTAGGGGAGAGGAGAAGCATTGCGTGAATCGCTGGGATTCCTAGTCGATAGAATGAAGGAAATGAAGGAAGGGAACGATGACGATGACGATCACGATGACGATGAAGATCACGATGACGATGACGATGACGATGATGACGATGATGACGATGATGACGATGATGACGACGAGGACGACGAGGACGACGACGACGACGACGACGACGACGACGACGACGACGACGACGACGACGACGACGACGACGACGACGACGACGACGACGACGACGACGACGACGACGACGACGACGACGACGACGACGACGACGACGACGACGACGACGACGACGACGACGACGACGACGACGACGACGACGACGACGACGACGACGACGACGACGACGACGACGACGACGACGACGACGACGACGACGACGACGACGACGACGACGACGACGACGACGACGACGACGACGACGACGACGACGACGACGACGACGACGACGACGACGACGACGACGACGACGACGACGACGACGACGACGACGACGACGACGACGACGACGACGACGACGACGACGACGACGACGACGACGACGACGACGACGACGACGACGACGACGACGACGACGACGACGACGACGACGACGACGACGACGACGACGACGACGACGACGACGACGACGACGACGACGACGACGACGACGACGACGACGACGACGACGACGACGACGACGACGACGACGACGACGACGACGACGACGACGACGACGACGACGACGACGACGACGACAAAGACGACAAAGACGACAAAGAGGAGTAAAAGTGGATATTCCTCCAGGCCCCTGACCCAACCCGTTCTATATGCTTGACCGTCACTCGCCTCGACATTACCAACGTGCAACGATAAAGGCCAACTGTATATAATAACAAATGGCCGACAGAGACGAAAAGGCGACTAGCGTACTCGGAAATGTGCGCAACTCTCTCGGTGCGCGTAACTTTACGATAAGCGTCAAGACTTTTATATTATAAGGAGAGAGGTGGAGGCCTTTCGACGAGCTGTCTCTAGCCGTCTACTAGCCGATGAAGAGTAGTACTCGAGTTCTAGGAGCACAAGTAGCTTATCGGCATCCGAGGAATACTTTCGTAAATATATCGGGAAAATCGAGTAATTCCGAGTAATTTATATCTGCGTAAGCAGCTTTTCCGCGTACAACTGCCGATAATTACACAACCATCGGCTCGGGGGGGGGGGGGGGACGTTCTCCCCAATTATTGACCGATGCATGAATCATGCTCCATTGATACATAAATGACTT